CAAGAACTAAGAGCAAGTCAGGAGCCAGGTAGCTTCTGAGGCCAACATATGATCAATAAGAAATTCACCAAGCTTTTGCTGGTCCTTCCCTTGTAATATTGATGTTTATAATGTGGCATGTCTGTGTGTCCGTTTTTCACAGAAACAAGGTATTATAAGTTATCGGCTTTGTAACCAGGCATAATCCAGCCCAGTTGGAATTTGACAAAGGGATTTTGCACTTATATTTATACTGTTTAATGAGAACAGGCACTATCTAGCAAATAATTGTACCTTTATTCTCCTTTTAATTCAAGGCTCTTAGGGTGAAGCAAGTGTATGACCAATGTAGAGAAGCTAGATGATGACCCACAGGCGTAGTATCAGAGTCACCACGATCTACCAACTTCTCTCTCTTTCACTCACTGATTCCTAAAATTAATTTTACAGAGCAAAAAAAAATTATAGCTATTATAAAAGTTTACAAAGCCAATAACTCAGGAGAAGTGGACAAAGCTGGCAAAATAACTTTGAAGTGAAAATGACTACCATTAGATCATTTCCAGAGAGTGAGTCTAGTATGGAGGTGGGACAAGAAGAGACCAAGCTTGAGGCTGTGTTAACCTGAATGGAGACAGGGGAAAGAGAGGGGCCTGGGAGCCATTAGAGGTACAGAAAGCAGAAGATCTAAGGCCAAGTCTTGAGGGCCCAGGAACAAGTTGCCTGACCCTGAACAAGGTACTTACTTGGTCTAAGGCTGCTTCATCACTGGAGAAGGGCAAAGAACCTCTTTGTTCTCCAGCTATGTTTTGAGGATCAAATCAGAAAATATGTATAAAGGTAATTTTAAAACTCTACTCCTATGGAATAGTAGGCAGTAGAATCACATCACAGAGGGCACAGAAATAGCAAGGCAGACAGCGAAGATGAAATCAGCTGACCCTATCACCAGGCCCAGAGCAAGAGTCTGTGGGAGGCCTTGCTCTGATAACCTGTGGGTGGAAAAGAAGTTCCGGTTAATCTGAGACATGTTCTTAGAGGAGACCTCTGCTCCTAATATATCCAAATGTGGCTAAGTACAGGCATACCTTAGAGATAGTGCAGGTTTTGTTCCAGACAAACACAATGAAGAGAATATTGCAATAAAGCAAGTCATACGAATTTCTTGGTTTCTCAGTGCATATAAAAGTTATGTTTATACTATATTGTAGTCTAGTAAGTATACAATATTATTATGAAAAGGTTTGAAATATTGTGAGAGACAAGAATTAGGCACATGCTATTAGAAAAATGACACTGATTGACTT